CAACTTTACCCTTCAAGACTTTCTTCCATGAATATTATGGCTGAAAGCGGGCTGTGGACTTCATCTGCCACAAGCAGGTAATTTAATTTTACAGGTCAAGGCAAAGTGGATCTTTATCTTGTTTGAGTTTCTCAAAATATATATGGATTTCTCGTTAAAGCTTTGAGGAGGGTGGGGTGTGGATAGGAAAATCAATCCAAGCACCAAAAACATCTCTTTTGATTCTTCTCAATAGAATCATCTCATTTAAACAAGTTTTAGCAAGCTGGCCATTGCAGTCAAGGTTTGAGTGTTCCTGTTCTCTTAGCCCAGTTAGACCTACTACAAACAAGACTCATGATGTTTCCATTCAGTTTAAGCACAACCAATGAAGTAAAAGGTATAACAAAACGACTTCTCTTTGGAGTCGAGTCTGGTAATTCCATGGCCACGTCCATGTAGTTTTCTCTACCAACAATACAGAAGTGATGGATCATTTCCTGGAATTATTATTATTATTTACTTCCCAGTCTAGCAGTCCTGGAATTTCCCAGTGTCTAGATACAATGAACGTTAGGCCATAAGCATAACTTTTAGATTGCCTGCCAGAATATGCATAAATGAATATGGTGGAAGGAAAACAGCCAACATGTCTAGGAGTGTGTTGGGTAAGAATAAAGAACAGAAAAAAAAAAACACAGTACAGGGAAAAGAATGCTTGGGAAATAGTTCAGTATTAGGCAGTAAGGCAAAGATGTGTGATGACTCCTTGATTGTTTAACACATTCATGGGTAATTGTGTAATTAATGCTTGTGATGGATATTGGATGGGAACATGAGTGTGTGTTAAGAAGCTGAGAATCCAAAGGGCTTGCAGGAAATGTTAGATAGATTGCATGATGTAATAAAGAGCACAGATCTGAAAAGAGATTAATTATCAAAACAGCTGTGTTTGAGAAGGAAAATGGAGTAGACCCAGTAGCCCAAGAAGAAAAAACAGGAATCATCTACAACATACAGTGTAAGGACTGTAACAACCACTATATAGGACAGACAGGCAGAAGACCAGCAGAGTGCATCCATGAATACCAACTAGCAGTCAGAAGACAAGATAAAAACTCCTTAAACTCCCAACACATGGACAAACCCAATCATAGTTTTAACTGGGAAACCGTGAGCAACCTAGACCAAGTTAAATCCAAAAAGGGAATTCCTGGAAGCTTGGCATTCAGACAAGGCAGCCATCAACAGGCACATAGAGATAAACAACTTTTATACACTATTCAAAAGAGACAATAGAAAGGAAAACAAAAGACCAGAACATCTCCTCACCA